TAGGTAAGTCTGACCCTTAGTCAAGAACCATATAAAATGGTCTACCACACGGGAGATAATCAAGAAGAAGCAAGAGCTAATAATAAAGAGAGGAGAGGTAGATCAACATTATCATCATCTCTTCTTCATTAATCACTATCATCTCTTCTTCATTAATCACTATCATCTCTTCTTCATAAATTTTATTATCACATAACAATAATTTTTCCTTCCCTAAATTTTCAATTAATCCAAATTCACCTCTCATTTCATTTTCATTCCCAATTTCTTCATATCATAACTCTCCTGCACACATAAATAAAAAAATACTAGTGATAAATCATTTAAAATAAAATAAAATAGTTGAATATATATATTTGTCCCAGCCTCACTTGAGATAAGGCAATAAAAGATGAATCAACAAAAGTATTGCATTCCATATCCATCAAAAGATTATCATTATTTGCACTATTTTATTCAATACTAAACAAAACATAGTGTTCTGACAATTGTCATTTTTTAAACGTAACATATTAGTATATATATACGATCATACAACCAATAATAACAACATATGTGCACCGATCCGCAGGACTGCACTATACATTTGCTCTTTTATCAACATTGTCGATCAACATAGAGCTCTGATACCAAATTTTTATGACCCAATTTTTCAGTTCATGTAACACTTACTGGACCCACCACTACTAGGTAAGACTAACCGTTAGTGAAAGAATAATAAACAACGGGCTACCACGCGGAATATAACCAAAACTAATGAGGAGCTAATAATAAAACAAAAGACGTAGATCAACAAAAAAATATACAAACAACCATTTTCAAGACCTGAAATCAGTCAGCAGTGGAGAGTCTAATCAAATAAGAGTACAAATACAAAAGAAACTTAGGTTGTCTCTAAACACAACATAAAAACTAGCCGAGCCAAAATAGAGGTAAACTAATAACTCTGAAGACGATGGGCCTGATCTTTTGCTGCTGATGCTGCCTGAAACATTGGACCTTTGGGCCATTTCCCTTTGCATATCGATTTATAAAAGCATTGTTTATTGTTGTATATGGTTATATCAGATATATATCTTCTTGTATATCAGCCTCCGAGACCTGTATAATAACTTTATTTACCTTGCATTTCAGTTTTTTATCCTTTAAAAGATTGATGAAGTTTACTTAGAGATACATAATTGTTGGGCTAAGCCCAACAAAGAGTGCAAAAGGAAACTAAAGAGCCCAAGTGAATCGAGAAGAAATTTAGGCAAGGAAAACAAAAAAAAAGATTCGGAGAAAATATACAACACAAAATAAAGATTATGCGTGATAGATATCCAAACAAATCATTTGAAATATATGAACTTGAAAATAGAATCAATATCAAGACACAAAAATAAATTAGAGATAACTAATCACAGTGCATAAAGAAGATTTAAATACATAAGAAGAGAATGAATTAACATTAATGAGGCATAGAAGACAACATCCTCTTGAAACATGCTTGCGTCAATCTCTTTATTTCTTCTTAAGTTCTATCTCTAATATTTCCTCTATCTTCGTCTTCTCTTTTTCTAATACCTTAATCAGTTCCTTCAACTTTTCTTACATCTCATATATATATAAACACACACACCATCATACAATAAACATAATTATAGTAATATTACAAGAAAAAATCATTTAATTAATGAAAACGACTAATTAAGTTGTATAGGGAGAGTGATTAACCTTAACATTGTTGATTAATATTTAAAGATTGATTAACTTTCTATGAGGTCACTGTATAATTTTTAAATCCCTACATCTATTCTTCAAAAGTGTCAACCTAATATGAAGCACCTTTGCTGCTCGAGTAATTGGCATGTAAAAATACTTTGAAATTGCATCTCGTGACAACATACTTGAACTATTAACCTATTCTCTAATTTCGTTATAATCATTTCATGCATCTCGTGACAACATACTTGAACTATTAATCTATTCTCTAATTTCGTTATAATCATTTCCTCATTACCCATTATGATCTCTTCTTTATTAATTTTATTATCACGTAATAACAAAAAAAAATTCCATGCATTTTCAATTAATACAAATTTATTTCTCATTTTCTTCTCATTCCAATTTCTTCAAATCATAACTCTCCTGCACCTATATTCAACAATTACTTGACATGATTTTTTTTTTTAAAAAAAGTTCAAAATATATGTATGACCCGATCTCACTTGGAATAAGGCTATAAAAGATGAATAAATAAAAGTGCTACATTCAATTTTCATCAAAGGATTATTATTATTTGTTAAACACAGTGCCATGAAAATTTACTGTTTTGAAAAGTAACATATTAGTTTATATATACGATCACACATCTAATAACAACACATGTGCACCAATACCTAAGACTATACTAGACATTTGCTCTCATACTAACGATGCTGATCTCTGATATTAAATTTTCATGATCTGATTTATCAGGTCATTATGGCACCTATTGCACCCGCTACTAGATAAGACTAACTCTTAGTCAAGAGCCATAAAATGGAATACCACATAGAAGATACTGAGAAGAAGCAAGAGCTACTAATAAGGAGAAGAGAGGTAGATCAACAAAAATAATATAAGACACAATTTCCTAGACCTGAAATCAGTTAGGAGAATATAAACAAATAAGCTTATAAGACTTTTAAAAATACAATACTAGCACATGTCTTCTCATAATACAACATAAACACTAGCCTAGCCAAAATAGATGTAAACTGATAACTCCAAAGCTAGGGCCCAATCTTTTGATGTCGTTGCCTAAAACATTAGACCTTTAGCCTATTTTTCTTTGTATATTGTTGTATACAATCACTGCTTATTGTTGTATATGGTTGTATAATATATATATCTATATGCTTGTATATCAGCCTCCGAGACCTGTTTAGTCATTTACCCTGTATTTCACCTTCATTCCTTCTAATGACTGGCGAGGCTGACTTAGAGATACAAGATTTTTGAGCATAGCCTGATGGAGAGTGCAAAAGGAAATTAAAAGGCCAAAGTGACTAAATTGAGAAGAAATCTATGAAATAAAAAACAAAGGAAAAGATTAAAAGAAAATATCCAACACAAAATAAAAAGATTATGTATGATTGATATTCAAGTAAATCATTTGAAATATATTAACTTGAAAATAGAATCCGCACCAAGAGACAAAAATAAACATGAGATAACTAATCATAGTGCAATTGAAAGATTTAAACACATTAGAAGAGAATGAATCAACCTTAATGAGGCATAGACAACACCATTAGTCTTCTCCTCTTGTAATTAGCCTTAAAACATGCTTGCTTCAATCTCTTTGTTTTCTCCTCAAGTTTTATATCTAGTATTTTATCCATCTTCTTTTTCTCCTTTTCTAATACATTAATTAGATCCTTAAGCTTTTCTTCCATCACATTTCATTCTCATTTTCGATTTTTTCATATCATAACTCTCCCGCTCCAAGATATAACAAATATTAGTCACAAATCTTTTTTTTAAAAATAAAAATATTTCAAAATATATTTAAGACCCGACCTCTCTTGAGATAAGGCTATAAAAAGATGAATCAACAACAAGTACTGCATTCTATTTCCATCAAAGAATTATTGTTATTTGCACTATTTTCTACAATACTACATAAACATAGTGTTCTGAAAATTCACTATTTTTTAACGTAACTTATTAGTGTGTGTGTATATATATATATATGATCACATACCATATAATATTAACATATGTGCAACAATCTGCGTGACTCTACTTGATATTTGCTCTCATACCAACTATGCCAATCAACCTAGAGCTCTGTTATCAAATTTTACGATTCGATTTCTCAGGTCATGATGACACCTACTATACCCCCATTACTAGGTAAGACTAATCCTTAGCCAAGATCCATAAAAATGGTCTACCATGCAGAAGATAACCAAGAAGAAGCGAGAAACAATACAAATGAGAATAGGTAAGACTAATCCTTAGCCAAGAGACATTTTCAAGACTTGAAATTAGTTATTAGTGGAACGTTTAATCACATGAGAGTACAAGACTTTTACACATACAATACAAAAATATGTTGTCTCTAAATACAACATATGGACTATCCTAGCCAAAATAGAGGGAAATTGATCACTCCAAAGTCATTGGACCTGATCTTTTGATTCTGCTACCTGAAGTATTGGACCTTTAGCTAATTTTTGTTAATATGTTGTCTTATACAATTCGTGCTTATTATTGTATATAAGTGTATCAGATGTATATCTGCCTTTGAGACCTGTATAATAACTTTATTTTTCCTGTATTTCAGCTTTTATTCCTTTGGATGATCGATTAGGCTGACTTAGAGATAGGGGATTGTTGGGCTCAGTCAACGGAGAGTGCAAAAGGAATTTAATGGGCCCAGGTGACCCAGTTGAGACGATGTATAAGCAAGAAAAAAAAAGAGATTAAGAGAAAATATTCAACACTAAATAAAGATTATGCATGATTTATTTTCAAACAAAATCATTTGAAATATATTAACTTCAAAATAGAATCAATACAACGACACACCTATGCAAGAGGTGGTCAAAAAAGAGATCATCAAGTGGTTAGATGCTGGGGTGGTCTTTCCCATTTCTGATAGTCACTGGGTCAGTCCAGTGCAATGTGTGTCCAAAAAGGGCGATATGACTGAATGAGTTAGTCTCGCGGAGACCAGTCACTAGATGGCAAGTGTGTATGGGCTACAGGAAGTTGAACAAGTGGACTTTGAGGGATCACTTCCCAATGCCTTTCATGGACCAGATGCTTGATAGGTTGGCAGGTAAAGGGTGGTATTGTTTCTTAGATTGATACTTTGGCTACAACCAGATATCAATTTCTCCTGAAGATTAGGAAAAGACCACATTTACATGTCCTTATGGCACTTTTGCGTTTAAACGCATATCATTTGAACTATGTAATGCACCAGCCACATTCCAAAGGTGTATGATGTCTATTTTCTCTGACATATGGTGGAGGACACTTTAAAGGTATTTATGGACGATTTCTCTGTAGTAGGTGATATTTTCGATGACTGTTTATTGAATCTTAGCAGGGTCCTACAGAGATGCGAGGAGGCCAACCTAGTGCTGAATTGGAAGAAGTGTCATTTCATGGTAAATAAAGGCATAATACTAGGACACAATGTGTCATAGAAAGGGATCGAAGTCGATAAGGCCAAGATTAAGGTGATTGAAAAGTTACCTCCACTGATCTGTGTGAAGGGTGTTCGGAGCTTCTTAGGACATGCAGGGTTCTATAAACGTTTCATCAAGGACTTCTCTAAGATTGCACACCCCATGTGCAAACTTTTGGAGAATGAGGTGAAATTTGTCTTTGATGAGGCATGTCTCAAAGTTTTTGAATGCCTGAAGGAAAAGTTAATCTTTGCCCTATTAATCATTGGCGCAGATTAGGCTGAGCCATTTGAGGTGATGTGTGATGCTAGTGGTATTGCTCTAGGAGTTGTATTGGGGCAGAACAAAAACAAGATGTTCCATCCAATTTACTATGCTAGTAAGTCACTGAATGAAGCACAACGAAATTACACGGACGGAGCAAGAACTACTAGTTGTGGTGTACGCTTTTGAGAAACTCAGAGCATACTAGCTGGGGACAAACGTGATAATTCATACAGATCATGCAACTCTGAGATACCTCATGGCAAAGAAAGATGCCAAGCCAAGGTTGATCAGATGGGTGTTGCTTCTCCAAGAGTTTGATTTTGAGGTTAAAGATAGAAGAGGGTGTGAAAACCAGGTAGTTGATCACCTGTCTAAGTTAGAAGCTGAAAAGAAAGAAGTGCTAGAACTTGAAATAGATGAGGCATTCCCAGATGAGCATGTATTAGCTGCAACGCTTGACCTTATTCCTTGGTTTGCTGATTATGCTAACTTTCTTGTTAGTGATGTGCTGTCTGAAGGACTAACATTTCAACAAAGGAAGAGGTTCTTGCATGATGTAGGTAAGTATTTCTGGGATGAACCTTATTTGTACATGATTTGCGTTGATAACATCATCAGGCGGTGCATTCCTAAAGCTGAGATGCTGCACATTCTAGAGGCCTGTCACTCATCTCCAGTAGGTGGCCATCATGGAGGTGCTCGGACAGCCTATAAGATACTTCAGTGTGGGTACTACTGGCCCATAATTCATCAAGATACAGTGGATATAGTAAGGAGTTGTGATGTGTGCCAGCAACAAAGAGCCATCTCTCGGCGCCATGAGTTACCCATGACACCTATCTTAGATGTGGAGCTGTTTGATGTGTGAGGCATTGATTTCATGGGCCCATTTGTGAGTTCTTATTGGCAGAAGTATATATTGGTTGCGGTGGACTATGTGTCTAAATGGGTTGAGACCGTTGCTTTACCTGAGAATGATGGCAAAAATGTAGCTGGTTTCCTGAAGAAGAATATCTTCTCAAGGTTTGGCACACCCAGAGCTATTATCAGTGATGGTGGTTCTCACTTCTGCAACAAGGTGTTTAGTACGCTTCTGACCAAGTATAGGGTAAAACAACGCAAAGTTGCAACGCCTGATCACCCGCAGACCAGTGGACAAGTAGAGTTGTCCAACAGGGAAATCAAGACAATCTTGGCAAAAACAGTAAATGCCAACAGGACAGATTGGGCATGGAAGCTAGATGATGTTCTATAGGCATATCAGACAGCTTTCAAGACACCTATTGGCATGTCTCCATATCAATTGGTGTTTGGAAAGGCATGTCATTTGCCGGTTGAGCTTGGGCATAGAGCACTCTGGGCGTTGAAGAAGCTAAACCTCAGTTGGAGTGAAACTACAAACTTGAGGTTGGATCAGATTAATGAGATAGATGAGTTCCGTCTGAGAGCTTATGAGAGGTCGACACTGTATAAGGAGAGGATGAATCTATATCATGATAAACATATTGAGAAAAAAAGCTTTACTCCTGGTGACTTGGTGTTACTCTTCAACTCCAGACTTCGTCTGCTTCCAGGAAAGTTGAGATCTAAATGGTTTGGACCTTTTAAGGTCACACAGGTGTTTCAATCTGGTGCTATTAAGTTGGAAAATGATAAGGGTGAGAGGTTCAAAGCTAATGACCAATGAATTAAGGCATATTTGGGTGTTCTTGATGATGTGAAGATAGTAGAGGAATGTAAACTTGATAAAGTCTGAGTATTCAAGTAACATGCGTCACGATGTGACGTTAAATTGTGCACTGCTGGGAAGGTAACCCAAGATGTAATTATACTAGGTATTTCCCCTTTTTTCTTATTTTTCTTTGTTTTTATATAGTCATTGTGTGTTGATGTGTGCAAGAGAGAATAAGTGGAAAAGTGCAGTAACTGGGTGCAGACTGATCTTCACGGACAGTCTCACGGACCGTGGTGCCCTTCACGGGCACTTTCACGGTCCGTCAACCTGATGACCAACCTAAGGAAACTACTGGAAATTGCACGAAAAAGGTTCACAAAAGGGTTCACTGTCCGTCAGAGCTTGTACTGACCGTCTAGCCTCTTGTGAACCTCATGTACGAATTATAGTTCCAAGTTAATGTCACAAAAGGTTCACGGACCGTGATTCCCTTCACGGGCAACTTTACAGTCCGTCGTATGCCTCAGGTAGGTTTCTTTGCCAAGTCAGAGTCACATACTGTTTCACGGACCATGATGCCCTTCACGGGAAACTTCACGGCTCGTAGTCCACTACCCAGTATCACCAGTTACCCGACCCGACCCGTGCGTAACCCAACTTGAATTGAAACGTATATGTTTCCTTTCAAATGCCAAAGGTCAATTTCTTCATCTCTTTTCTCTCCTATAATGGTGCTTTAAGGATTCAAATTAGTTCCCCTTACAAATCGATTCCCAATCCATCGTAAATTAAGCCCTAATCTTAAAGTTGCCAAGAATCGCAAGTCAACGCTACTGATTACTCACTTTGAGCAAAATTTTCTTCTCTATTCCAAATAAGTCACTTCATACTTTGTTACAAATTTGTTCTTGGTTTAAAAGAAAGTATATTTACTTCGAATGAGTTCAGATTAAACATGATTATGTGATGGACTACATTGATGGGGACTGATTTATGTAGGGTTAAGTCGAATTGGGATTTTTGAATTGTTCTTGTGTGTGGCTCTATAACAGTGGGTCGAATTTGTTGGTGCCCGAGTTGTTTGTGAATCATGTATTAGTTAATTAAGTTGATTAAGAATTAGGTTGATGCTTAAGATATATGAAGGTTGTGAATTTGTGTAAAAATGGTGGTTAAAGTGCTGAAATTATGTATTGGGAAGAATGTGACTGAAATACTGGTCAAATGTAAGACCATGACAGGTTTTACGGAGTGTGGAAGATACCACGGGCCGTGAAACTTATCGTGGACCACACTTGAAGTCAAGCCATCCCTTAGATAAAGTTCACGGGTAGCATGGACCGTGGTGCACTCCACGGGCCGTGGAGCCGTCCGTGAACATCCTTTGGTAAAAAGTTTTGTGGCTTCTTTTTCACATTGATTCTGCCTTAAACCCACGAGGGGTTTCACGGACCATGGTACATACCATGACCCGTACAAGCTTCCGTAAAGCATACTTAGTTGTAAAATTTTAATTTTTTTGTACTTCAATTTTCGTTCATCTTTTGATTCAGTGGCCCTTCCTAATGATAGATTGGGTGACGACATTCTTAAGGCAAGGCGTCACAATGAAATTACACAAGGAAAGTCTGAGTACCCGATAGTGCGTCATTTGACTGTGTTGAATACTAATGAGTTTTGTATTTCTGAGGTACGATGGCTCATCGAAGAAAGAACGCAACTAAACCTGCCCCCCACTGCTTCTGAATTAAAGGGTCATGACGACTCCGACGCTAGTAATTCTGAGGTGCAAATAAATGTCACACTTGAAGATCACTCCCCTCGAGCTACCAGATCACAGACAAAGAGAGTCATTCTCCAGGACACTCCTCTCTAGTCTGAAGAGGAATGAAGTACTTCCGATAACATTGCAACGTCAGGTAGTAAATCTAATGATGGTTCAGGTAGCTAGTCTACTGATGACTCGGGGGGAAGTGCAGAATCTGAAAGCAGTTCTCAAGAAGAGGCAAACACCTCCCCACCTGCGGCGAATACAGAAGCTGAAACTGGAGTACGAGAGAAAGCGGCTACTATAGAGGATGATGAAAAGATCACTGATGATGATACTATGGTGATGTATGTGAACGCCCATGAACCTAACCCTGCACTGAGACCACAACTGATTGCCTGTTACCGTTCCATGTGGATTGTAAACCGATTCGAAGAATTTTTCAACAATGGGATTGTGACCAAGACTGGCAGCTTCAAGAAGCGGGCAATCATGCCTGAGACTAGAGTGGTGGTAACTGACATTAAAGCATTCCCGTACATTTATCGAACGTTTCAATTTCATCAGTTTGATTGGATGGACAATGCACTTGGGATTACTCTTACCACGTGACTAGGGAGTTCTACTTCTTGTATGCAGCCACACTGATGAATTTTGCTGCGGACACAAAGACTACAAAGTGTGGACAAAGAGATATTGCCATTACATGGGTCCACTCAATTCTATTATAGTTCGGGGCAAATCAGTAGATATCTCGGAGGCCACTATTAACAGGATGTTGCATGGCTCTGAATACTCTACAACGACTTTAGTTGGCCTTTTCGAGGGCAAACATCATGAAGTCACTAGTGACACTACTATGGAGATTCAGAGTTCTCGCGAGACGGTGTTGCGCTGGATTGTAAAACAAATTGCCATAGATGGCGAGAGTGCAGTTTGGGTCACCACGATGCCAACACTGATTCCAAAAGCTTCGTTATCATTTCCAGCCAAGGTGTGGTGGGTTGTTGTGCATGCCCAATTCAGACCTACAGGAAACGACAATACCTTGTCTCCCAATACCTTGTCTCCTTTTTTAGCATCTTTTGTAGCCTGCCTCATGGCTGGTTACCCCGTCAATGTGGGGAGGATCATAGCTACTGAGATGAGAAACAGAGCATTGAATGAGAAAGACGGGTTTCCATTTCCCTATCTAATAAGGAAATTGTGTAGACAAGCGGATATTCCCCCAAACAAGCTAATTGACAGATGGCGTGACGCATTCAGACTCATCCAGGTTTCTAAAATCAAGGATGTCACGAACCATCTCTTTGGCGCGAAGTCTGTAGCTGTGGGTACTTTAGCTGTTGTTCAACATGATCCCTTTGATATTCCATAGGCAGACAGAGGCCCAGAGCAGAGAGAGTCATCCCAACCTTCCACATAGGCACCACCACCACCAGCTGCCTCCCAGGCTCTAGGTACTTTTGTTACTATTCATATGCTCTTTCTTGAGAAATTAGTTGCAGATCAGTGCTAGACCAGGACATTAGTAGACCAGATTGTACTCTGGATGCCTCAGCTAATAGAGGCGAAGGTGTTAGCTGCGAAAAAAAAGATCAAAGATGAGGTGCAGAAAGAGCTGACCATCTTTAAAGATAGATTGAATGGTTTGGATAACCTTATCCAAGATCAATTCCAAGTTGTTAGGTCACTAGATACTAAAGAGTTCAAATTACAGATGGCTGAGATGAGAACTCAGATTGCTAAACTGGCTGAAAAGCCAGTACAGGTACCCACTTCGATATTGCCAGAATCTTTAATGCAAATGCTAAATCAGGCACCTTCCACTCAACCAATTGATGATCTTTGGGGAGAACTCCTCACGAGGAAGTCCGGCAAGAGAAAACACAAAGATGGAGAACTTGATGAGGAGATCCCTACTGACCCAGCCAGAGAGGCAATAAGGCAAGAAAAGAGAGCTCATAGAACATCAAAGAGGAAAGCTCGGGAAAAGGAAGCCCTTGAACAACAACAGCGAGATGCAACCTTAGTTGGAGCTTCTGGTAGTGGAGCACTTGCCCCGACAAGTGAGGACCAACCTGATTAGGTACCGAGTTCTGAGAGTGCACCCATTGATAAGGGTGCCAATTCTAATTCGAAGATCGGCGCCTAGAGCGCCACAGATATGACCCCTCATCACAACCCTGATTTACTTGCTATCTTGACTTTGAGGGTAAAGTCCTTTTTATTTAGGCAAGGGGTGGTGAGCAACCTGCCATAGCTGTTAGAAAAAAATGGAGGTTGTCTCTGTGTGTTATTGGTTTTAGGTGTTTTATGTGTTGAGTTGTGTAGCAGCTAGTTTGTTAAAAATGAGGACCTGAATTTGAGTTTGATTGTTATGATCTTTAGATGACATCTTAGATATTAATATGTTGAATATGGCCAGTCTGACCAATTAATTGGTGAACCAAGACACTGAAAAATGCAGTCCTGTGTCGTGTGTGTAATTTTTGATTGAAGTCTAACACTAGGAGCAAAAACTAAAACTTTCCCAAGTAGTCTTGCTTGAATCTGTGAATAACCGGATAGGAAAGGATCAGTAGGCCATTTTTGTTAAGCTAGTAAAAAGCCAAAAATAAAAGAACCAAATGAAAATCTTATCACTTGAACTCAATTTGAGCCTTAAATCAGTCTTTGTTCTTACCCAACACATATCATATCCTTGGTTCTCCGAAGGTATGATATTACAAGTCAGGCCAAAAGCCTAAGTTGAGGGTGATTGCAATCCGAATAGAAAGAAAAAGGAAAAAGAAGGTTCAACCAGTGAGCT